ATATTCTCATATCACTTCCAGCTTTTTCCCCAGGACGTTTTGTTGTTTTTAGATCTCTCCCATGCCCTTTCTACCTTCCCAGAGATATAATCATGTGGTAGTTATACAGACATATAGGATTTGTATTTGAGTCTTGCTTCCTTTCTAATCTTCCAGTGATGTACAGTGTTTGCCTGTCTTCCTACCTCCACTCCTCCCCTCTTCATTCCCTTGCCCCTTCTTCCCTCCCTCCCTTCTTTCATCCTTCCCTTCCTTTCCTTCCTCCCTTCCTTCCTTCCTTCCTTCCTTCCTTTTCTTCCTTCCATGCTTTCTTCCTTCTCTCCTTCCATCTGGAAGCATTTATTGAATGTCTTCTGTGTGTCAGGGACTGTCCTAAGTGATAGAGATACAGGATATATTCTATGCTTAAGAAGTTCACAGTTCAGCTAGAGACAAATAAAAACTAAATTGTGCTAAATGTCATAATAGAGATCTGCATATCTGCATAGAGTCTGTTAGAACACTAAAGAAGTAACAATTATGCTTATAGATTTGGGGGCAGCTTTGCCAACCAAGTACTATCTTAGTTGCCTCTTGAAGGAACTTGTGAAGCCTGTTTCTTTATCTATAAAATAGGGATGCTGAAGGATAAAAGTAGAGCTGCAGACACAGAAAGACAACCAGTCTATGGTGGATAAAGAGGGAAGATAACTCCAGAAAGGATGTTTCTGACAGAAAAAAAACTTTTAAAAAACAGATATCTGATGCGTTTGAATCTATTGAAAAGAATTTAATGATTTCCTGGAAATTTTGGAATTACTGATGATGCAGTAAAAATGTAGAGAAATCTCCAAATGAGGCAATTATTAATGTTGGGAATTAAAAAAAAAGTTGTACAAGGAAGAATCACAGTATACTATGTTCCTCAGCTGAGAACAATATTTACATAGTCATAATACTGCAATTTTGATTTAACTAAAACTTGGGATGTAACTATATTAGGAGAAAGTGATGGGGCTTCAGGGGAACTAAGTCTCTAACTTTCAGAGTAGGAAATCAAGAGGAAATAATGAAGATTGAAAAAGGCAGGCCATACCAGGACAAGCATAATAGAACCACGGGGGCAAGATTTTTTAAAAAAGATCCATGGGCTGGGGATTTAGCTCAGTGGTTCTGCCGCCTGCCTTGCAAACTCAAGGTCCCGAGTTGGATCTTGGGTACCAAAAAAAAAAAAAAAAAAGATCCAGAGTCATTGCCTTCAGTGAATGGGACTCAGAAATGGGGATAAGTGAGGCAGGGACTGATGGTTTTGTTAGTTTAGAACTATTTAACTTTCAAAATTATTCACATGTATTTCTTTAATCATAAAATTTTAAATGATTTATTAGGCAACTCAATCACTCATCTCAATATTAATTGTTCATCCTTGTTTGAGGTAAAATGGACATGCATGGGCTAGCTTATGACCAGACATGCTTTCACAGGGACAACACCTCCAGGCTTGAAGGTCTGGTGCTCAGCTGGATTGTCTCACAGTCATTAAAAGTTTCCATAGACTGATGTAATAAAACTGTTTATTGAAATGACCATATCCCTTCCCAGTGGCCAGAATGCATAAGGCTCTGTGGTGAGCACAGAGTGTGTGAAGGGGAAAATTTTTAGGGACTTGTTTCACCTATGTGCTGGGAAAATCTGGTGAAATGTGTTTTGCTGTCACAGAGGAATGTTTCTGGTGTCCACATTGCAGACTTTCTTCTCTAAACCCCTTTTGAAAGCAACCTTGCCTGCCCAAATCAGCACTTTTCTTATATGTGTGAATGTCAGTGGTTAACTATATAGTTAAGACAGTCCTTTTTCTTTACATGCTATGAATCCAACCAGCAGAGTTCTAGGGATTTCTATTTCCCTAACCTGTACAAGTAACCATCCATGTGAATTTTCCAAATGTTCTCCACCAGTCATAAATGCATGTGTATGAGGTGACAGTATGTTCTAATTTATTAACCAGTTGCCTGCATCTTCCAGATCCAGAAGCTGGGATCATCATTGGGGTCTTAGTTGGTATCCTGGTAGGTGCTGCCATCATCATAGCTGTGGTGTACTTTGCTAGAAACAAGGCAAAGGAAAAGAAGAGGCATTCTAAATCTACCACAGAGCTTGAGTAAGCCTTTTATTTAATTGAATAAAAACATTTCTCAGGCATGTCTCTTTCATTCAGCTCTTTCTAAGCACCCTTTATAGCATAAAATATTAGAGGTATCTTTCTGCTTGGTTTCTATTCTTCTACAAAAACAGTGATTGTGGCTACAATTGCTGAGACTCGATTCTAAGCATTTTATGTATATCAACTCATTTAACCATCACAACAACCTTTTTAAAACCAATAAAATGGTTTATGATACACTGTTAATGTGTTTGGCTTTATGCCAACATAGTTATAAATATAGTTTTAAATATTTTTTATAGATTAAGAGGCCTATGAAGGCAAAGTGCCTGTGGCCCACAGAAGTCAGAATGTGGCCTTCCCACAACCCATGCTCTTAAACCACTCTGCTGTTTATTCTGTAGTGTAGATCAGACTCATTCATTTGTTCACTTTTCATCTCCTTGCTTCCACAACTCTGTATTGGGCACCAACCAGGTACCACATATTGCCCTAAATGGAGTCGGAGATAGAGACATATCAGAGCTATGGATTTAGTCCTTATTAGACCAAATCTAAGACCTTCTAGCTTCTTAAACTCTTTTGTCCTTATCATTTTCCCATCTTTTAAACATGGTTTGCCTTTCTTGAACTTTCATCATATTTGAGATCTAACCTTTCTAAAAAACAAAATGGACACATATAGTGAATCAAAACAGAATTAACAGACCTTTTGAACAGTCTGGGACCGATGTTACTGATGCTACAGAGAATATCTCTCAATGTGAAATTTCAAAGTTAGCATTTCCCTTACTTTTTTCTGGATGTTCTTTCTTGCAGACCAATGACAAAGACAACAAGGCAAGTGAGAGAAAGCGAAGCAATGCCAGCGGAAGATGCTATCCATCTAGAAGCAACACTGCCATCCTCCAGTCATGAGAATGAGCCTGCTGCCATCTCAGAACCAGACCATGAGCCTTCTCCACAACCAGAAGCTGCTACACAACCTGCCTCAGGAGCAGCACCTGTGCGTGTGCCTGAACTTGAGATCGAGCTGCAGCCAGAGCCAGAGCCAGAGCCGGAGCCGGAGGTGGAACCAGAGCCTGGGGTAGTAGTTGAGCCCCAGTGTGATGAGGGAAAGGGTGTGGTTAAGACATAGGCTACACCTCTAAGTACAGCATTCATCACTAAGGAACCCATTACTAGCAACTGAAATTCAGTTGACCTAACCAATCCCCACCTCTTCTCTCCATTCTGACCAACTCTCTTCTAACATAGTGCTCATTCTTACCATAAATCCCAATAAATGGATCAAGTTAACTGAAAAATAAATGCAAGGGTTCCTTCATTATTAGTATACAATGCTTAAAATTGTACTAACATGTAAGCATAACAAATGACAAAGGAAGTGATTCCTAACTCAGTTGAAAGAGTTTTGCAACGGTAAACATCTTATTGCAGAAAATTTTTATTCTCTATTTTTCAGCTATTTTGTTGTGTTCCACATGCACACATGACAAAGTGTTATTAATGAGATTCAATATTATTTATAGGATTAGTTTTCTGGCTTTCCTATTCATTTTTATATTTACTAAGGAAAGAACTCAAGCGCATTTCTCATAGATTAGGAAGACATTCTCCACAAACAACAGAGACTATATAAAGAAAGGGAACATATTAATTGGTACATAGCATTTAAAGCCAAATTTTACAATTGATACATTTATCATGTTATATTTCCCAAGGGATCACCCTGGTGTCCAATATCTGAGCATAGCAAATTCTGAAAATAATCCATTTTTAAAATGCCAAATAACATATATACAGGCAAATGATTTCAAATACAATTTTCTTCAGTAAATACAAAGTGCTGATTATTGTGATGTAGAATTTAGCTATGAATAAGCTATTATGTTATCACTGTAACTGATGCTACTTACTTTGAAGGGGAAGACTAGGAAGGTGTTCTAAACGAACACTTAAGGTCTAGTTGACAATCTCAACTAATTTTTTAAATAATCTATTTTACTATTGGTAGATTCCACATTAATAAAGCAAATTTATTCTTGTGTAAATGCTAGATATTAACTAAGATGCATTGATAGCTTCTCTTCAACTCTTAGAAAGCTTTTTCATGATCATATTTCACTCATATCCCACCTTGAAGAAATTTACAGGTAACTTACTTTTTCATTTGTGTAATCAATTATATTTTAAATCTTATTTTAAAGCTCAATAAATACTCAAAATCTAATTTTAATGATTCTTAAGATAAATCTTTAAGATAAATCTTTTAATAAGCAACTTTATTGACATATAATTTATGCACAATAAACTGCACCCATCTTAAGTGTACAATTTGATGTTTTCAATTGTACACATGCATGAAACCATCATACCCACTTGAATAGAGAACATCCACAAGCCCAAAATGTTTCCCCTATGCTCTTTTGTGCAATCCCATTGTGCCTTAGACTTCAGCAGCCACTGATTTGTTTTCCATAGAGATCTTTGCCTTTTCTTGACCTTCATACAAATGGGATCATACTGTGTGTGTGTGTGTGTGTGTGTGTGTGTGTGTGTGACTTCTAAGGTGAAAGTTTTTCAAGTGAGGTAATGAATCTCAAACTTACCACATCCATATTTTCATGTTAGAAGATTTTCTTTAAACTGCAAACTCCTTTCTATACATCATACTCATAAAACAAATTGAGGAAGAATGTTTAGGTTTAATAGAAATAAAAATTACACTTGTCCAGGGGCTGGGATTTAGTTCAGTGGTTCTGTCGCCTGTCTCACAAGCGCAAGGACCTGAGTTCAATCCCTGGTACAAAAAAAAAAATTACACTTGTCCAAAGTCATGGAGAGAGCAGTAAGCAAGCTTTAACTTACGTATTTTCTTTATTGTGTCAGTTTGCAACTATTCTCAGGGATTTCTGAAGCATCTGCAATTTCATTCACAGAAAATAACAAACTATATGACATATACTGCCTGAATAGTACAGGAAGTAAAATGATGATCTGAAGAATAGCCTAATATTTAGATATTAAAAACTGAACATCAACAGTATAAAAAATTCAATGGCCAGAATGTCTAAGTAGCTGGAAGTCATTTTTCCCTTCCACTTTTATGATTCAGGTTAATCATAAGACTGACATGTAATAGTCAATACTAAGTCCAACATTTCTGATGGATCAGTGCTGAGCAGGAAGGAAGGCACTACTGGTCTTATACAACCCTGTAATTATTAACACTGTTCTGTTCAACATACTGATGAGTAGTTTGATCAAATGGTTTTTAACCTTTTTGTAGTTATGGATCACCTTGAGAGTCTCCTGAAAACTATGAACCCTTTGCCACTGAAAAATACACTCATAGAGTATCACACACAATTTCAGATGTTACAGAGTACCCGAATCCAAGATTAAATACAGTGACTTAGACAAAAACACAGAAGTCATACTTATTAAATTTGTGGATGACACAAATAGACAAAAATGTCTGGCTTTTAAAATATGCAGAGTATGTGTTGTCCAGCTGGGCAAGTATGTACCTTTGGATTTTTCCTCAGTCCCTTTCCTGGCCTTTGCGGTGCCTTATTTTCCAGACACCCAAGATTCCTATGCTTTTACTAGCTCAGTGACCTACTGAGGTCTGTATCCCTCAGGCAAGATTCATTGCTCAGGACCAACCCCTACTCTTGGCACCCTTTAAAAGGTGGCTGTTCTATAACCTGTTCTTGTCCAGTGAACATGAACTTTTATCATCCAGTCATCTCATTCAGATTGATAAATGATTTACGATTATCTTAGTTTTACCTTTTTTTTTTTGACAGGGTCAAGCTATGCTGTTCAGGCTGGCCTCCAAATGAAGTAATCGCCTTGCTCAGTCTCCCAAGTAGCTGGTTCTATAGGCATGCACCACCATGCCCAGCTCAGGAGAATTTACCTTTTAAAGGGGACTTTTGAACATAGATAACCCATAACCTAAAAAGTCTAAATGGGGGGATTTTATATACTGAAATAATCTAAGGAAGATATTCATAGAAAAAGGAATCTTGTCAGCCCTCTCAAATCAAACCATGGAGTTTGGCATCTACTCAGCCTACTCTGGTCAGTGCAATTTCATCCCAGTCTCCTTTAAGTACATCCATGATACACCCAATATGTACGTTTGTGATGAATCATGAATCCCTGTAAGATACTGGCGTAACACAATTCTGCTCACTAAATCTCACTTAGACAAGAATAGGCTTGTATGTTAAAAGCTTCCCAATAAGGGAACAAAATGTTTCCTGTTCTTCATCATTGGATCAGAAAATACTGACTAGTTAAGCTTTGACTAAATTATTTTAGAATAATCCTTATTCATAGAGGGTACCAAATTATTTATTTTGCCACAAGTACTTAAAATTTAGTGGGTAGTCTCACAAACTTCTCAAGCCAGCCCTATGCTTCTTAAAGATCCACTCTTTCCACACAACAATTTCCAGGAACTTCTCTGTCTCATCTGTTTCTGCATTTAGCAACTAGGGTGTGCCTAGTCAACAGAACAGCTTTATTGGTAGTAAACCCTTATCTAATTTGTTTCTTTATTCAACCACTCACCGGACATTTATTGAATAGCTAGTATGAAATTGGCACTGCTGGTGGTACAATGGTGAGCAGAATCAGAGGTAGCCCTTGTCCTCATGGAGTGTTGCTAACTATGAGTAGTGAGCGTTATCAACAATTCTGCAGGATAGGAAAGCTGTAATTTTTACTGCATTAGGGAAAGCCTCCAAATTATAGTGATCTATAATGAAAGGGGACTAAAATACAGTAATTTTTGATCAACAGATAAGAAATCACACAGATTTTTTTTTCGGTACAAGGTATTGAACTCAGGACCTTGGACTTGCCAGGCAGGTGTGACACCACTAAACTACATCCCCAGCCTTATATGCTAAAAAGTTAGTATTTGCCTTTTACACTGGCCTGTGCGTAACTCAAGTCTGATAAACCTTCAGTAAGTATTTCAGAGCTGGAAGAAAACTTCACCATTGATCATATTCAACTTTTTTCAACTCCAGCACATATGATGGTTATAACGCATACAGTGCTTCTCTCCTGATAATGATGGGGGTGGAAGTAGATGATATAGAATTGTACATTCTTGGTGAGAGAGACAGGAAGGAGTCAATGTACTTTTAAAAAGCTGCTTTGCTCTTACATAATCCTACCCAGGCTCCAGACGAGAATCCCTGAGTAAAGAGAGGGAAAATAATCTTCTTGAGATTATACAAACTAGATCCAAATTCTGGTTCCCAATGTAATACTCTTTCAAAGGCACCAAACTACTAATTTCAATGAAGCCCAAGTTTTAGTAATACAAAGTTGTTTTACAATGTCTACATGTTGGAAAACAGGCTACAGGGCATCACAAAAGGTTCAAGCCATGAAGCTGGGGGTCTAACTCAGTGGAAGAGCATTTGCCTACTATGTGCAAGTACCTCAGTTCCATCCCCAGAACCACAAATAAACAAACAGGGTTCAAACCAATCAAGTTAATGATCCCACTTTTCTTTGAAGCTTTGGTTTAAAAACAAAGAACTCAGAAAATGATGAGAGAAACAAAAAATGCCAATGAAGGAAAACAAAATAGTTCCTTTATTCACAGCCCTTGACCCTAAATGTGTTTTCACTTTATCACATTATTGAGTCTGCAGCACAGAGGGGACTGGGAGACGGGGCTGAAAGTTTCAAGTTTCTGATCATGGTTTGGCCATTATAGTGAAGAGACTGTGTGCGTGTATGTGTATGTATGTGTATGTGTGTGTGTGTGTGTGTGTGTGTATCACATGAAGCTATTCAGGAGCCTAAGAGTTGCACAATTAGAACAAAAGATGTTCCTATTACCAAGAAATCTGAAGAGATTTAGTAGTTCTGGATAAGATACTCCTCTAACCTCTATACCTTGAGGCTATAATGTTAAAGTGAAATAAATCAGACACACAAGCTTAAATACCACATGGTTTCTCTTATGTGAGAAACCCAAAATATAAATAAAGAGCAAAATAAAAGATAATAGGAAGTAGGGAGATAGATCTTTCTCAAACAGGAAGGGGAACAAGAGATGGAGTGTGGGGAGGGAGGGGAGGAGAAGGGGATGAAGAAAGAATTAAGATGTTATACAAGTAACAAATCCCCACAAGGAATGTAATCATTATCTACTGCAATATGTACTAAAAAAGTCACAGGAGCTCTGTGTCAGTAACTGGGGACTGAAGTCAAATATGTATTTATTATTACATCACAGGCAATTTGAAGAAAAGCACAGGGTAGGTGTTAAAACTAATGGGTTATCAATGCCAGAGTACCTTCCATTTGGTCCACTGTTTTTAAGTATAGGTAGAAAAAAAAAGGTATTAGGATCCAGGAAAGCTGTATTTTGGTATTGGTATTTTCTCATGTGTAAAATGGAGATGGTTTCTGTCTTTTTAAAGGATATAGTAAGAATACATGTAAAGCCTATAAAGTGTGGTAGAACTACAATGTTCTGGAACTTATATCTCCTGACAATTGATTTGATATTCTTTTTTCTCTTACCCAGTGATTCTTAACTTTTTGAGGAATTACAGATCCTTTTTAGAATTTATAAAATTATGAACCTCTTTCGAGAAAAATACACATACAACATTCTGCATTCAAGTTTTGACAGTCAATAGTACTGTGAAGGAGGAGCCATATAAAGCAAAGTGAAGAAATTTGCTGACAGACTAATATTCCATAACAGAATATAGAAACAGAAAACAGTAGGCAGAGCTGCATAAAAAATTCATTGTAGTTGGTATAATTGAAAAACAGGAAATCAAAATGCTAGGGTCAGAGAATTAAACTGTTAAGTCAAAGATTCTAAAGTAGAATGTAGATTTACCTAGAATCTCACCAAAATTATGAATTCCCTATAAAAGGTACTTAAGAACATAAATTTTTCCAGTTTTATTGACCCATTTCTTCCAAGTTATACTTTCAGTTAAACTTTAAAATTGAATTATCTTTTTTGAGTTCATTTTGGAATTAAAACATGCTGACCTCGAGTCAGCTTTACCTGTATCAGATTTTCTACAGTTAACAATTTGGTCAGGATTTGAGGCCATTAATACCCTTAGTTTATATAAATCAGTGATTCAAATATTGTTAACAAGTCACTTAAGTGTACAAATTACCTCAGTCTTGGTTCCATCTGTATTGCTCACTGAAGAACTCATACTAAGGAATTATAATGAGTTTCTTTTATACCATAAAGCCTATTACCTCAGATAATAAATTCAACATTTAAAGGCCTTTAGTCTTAACAGATCCTATTAGACAAAACTTGACTGTTTAGTCACATTAAAAATATTGGAAATACATTATTTCCCCTACCACCTATTCTATCTCCAGCATTGAGTAAAGAAAGATTTTTGTTCCATAAGGAGATGCTTCCCTGGGCTGGGGGTATATCTTAATGGTAGAGCACTTGCCTAATGTCCCAAACGTCAATCTTCAGGACTGCAAAAAAGAATTTATGTAAAATGGTTTTGTTTATAAACAACAGAGTTCATATTTACTAAACTCATTTTACTTACTTGTCAGTAAGTCTTTGACCTCAAATTAATACAAGTTTGTGGGCTCACTTGGATTACTTATTTCAAACAATATTTACAGCTTAAAATTCAAATTAAAAAATAATTTGAAGAATCACTTTGAGTATATTAGACTTTATAACTAATAATCACTTAAGATGCTTCCCTAAATTGAGCCCAAGTTTGCACTTATTAATTTCCTTTTGCTCTGCATTTAGTTGGCAATTCAGAAGACTATTGTTTCCAAGATTTTAGTTGCAGTTCAAGCTTCACTAATTTTATCGACTTTAGAGCTACCCACAACTGAGAAATGTCTTTACTTAGAATTTTAAGGCTTAAGTGAATGTCTGAGTTGAAAAAAAAAATTGTGCAATTGTTTTAACATTTAAAGTTCTGAAATACAAATCAAAATACATATTTGTTACACTTTAACAATGTGGACATTCTTTTCAATACAAGTTGAGTCAACATAGGTATTTTTAAATTTCCTTTTTAATTTTTTTTTTCGGTACCGGGGATCAAACTCAGGACCTTGCGCTTGCGAGGCAGGCGGCAGAACCACTGAGCTAAATCCCCGGCCCATAAATTTCCTTTTTAAAAACAAAACATCTTGTGGAGGAAAACAGCTCATCAAAGAGACACATGGGTACACAGGATACTGTACTCTGTTATTTTAGAGCATACTCTCCAACTTAAAATTTGGTCGACTAAATAAATA